CCCATCTATCTGTTTTGCTATCCCTCGGGGTCCTTACTCTCGCTGTGCCCTGTCCCTGGAAGGCCTTTCTCTCCCAACTTGGTCCCAGCCTTCCTGGTCCTGTCACGGGTTCTCCTGTGCACAGTCATCTCATCAGCAATCCCCTCCTGCCTCAGACCCTCTATTTAGAATCACCCTCCACCAATTCACTTCTTTTTCTTACTCCCATTAATTTTCTTCACATATGTAATTTTCACATGTAAGTGACACTGAGGACTGAACCCAGGGCCTTCACACGGAGCTACATCCCCAGACCTTTTGTGTATTATTTATTTTCGAGACACAATCTTGTTGAATTACTAAATTTCCTGGGCTGAGCTCAGCCTTGCAATTGTCTGGCCTCATCCTCCCTGAGCTCTGGGATTACAGGTGTTGGCCACCACGCTCAGCTTCTTTTTTTAAATTTTCCATCTTTGTTCACAAAGACGAGATCTTGGCTGGCTTACACACCGGGTAACCCTCCCGCCTAGGCCAGCAATTGGCATCTACTGCCTCAATAAACATCCATTTGATTGAACAAATAAATGAGACAGAAGCAGGATTCAAGCAGATGATGGGCAGCGTCTGGAACTCTGTCCTTGCTTTGCTTTGTGACCTTGGGCTACCTCACCTATAAATAAAAAAAGGTCAGGGGGAGTCGTAAATGGATTCAGTCTTATTGGTTGCGTCGTGGCCAAGGAAGAGGCATATATGGTTGGTGACTCCATTCCAGGGTCAGAATGAATCCTAGGGCTGGGCATTCATGTGACAGGGACTTAGCAGTGGCATTCTCTGGATCCTCTGTCTCCTTCCTCGCCTTTGCCCCCAGCACCTGCTGAGGCTGTTTCTGGGAATCCTAATGTATTTCAAGCCTCCCACAGTAGGAGGGCCGGCGGGCTAAAGGCGGCACAGATGTCACCAGCCACGTTGACTGGGTTGAAGAGGCAGCGACTCTTGGGAGGGAAATGGACCATTGGGCTGAAGTTTGGCCATGCGAACTTTACCAGCCTGGACAAAGCCCATGATCCGTGTGTGTCCGTGTGTCGGGTACTTACACACACACACACACACACACACACACACACACGTTTCCTAATGTTGCATTTAGCAAAACTTAAAGCAAAACGATTTGCTTCTTCCCAAACTTTGGCAATTTCAACATCCGCCCATTCGAGTAAATTTGACAAGCATTATCTCTTTTGTCTTCTCTCTCCTGTATGTCCCACCCCTCTCCAAAGCCAGAAATTCCACACAGAGAGTTTTTAAGAGTGCTCACCGACAAGTGTACACACGCAGTCCGCAGCCAGGGAGCAAGCAGCACAGTCGCTAACTTGTTAGACAGGAGCTAGATTACAATCATAAATAAATGATTTGCTGTCTCCTCGCATTCAGACTTGTAGCTTTTAAAGTGTGCCTGTCAACGCCGAATCAGATTTAGTCAAATGCTGTGTAACTGCAAAATTATCCTCTTCTTACCTTTTTATTCTCCTTATAATGGACAGTTAAATTGGATTTTCAAATTTGAAGTGCATATGTTTTTCAAATCCCCAGAGGCTGTCTATTTTTTCATTTCTAAAGCAACTCACTAATGTTTATCATTACCACACAGAAATATTACAATTCTTAAGGGGCGCCTTACAAAATCAGCGCAGGAGAAATGTGCTTTATCGTCTCAAAATGAAACCAATTTCTCAGCTGATTTGCAATTTATTTACATGTTAGCATTTGATTTCCGGCTGATTTATAACCCCACACGGCTCTGTCTTGGGTTTATTTAGAAAGCAGACAACAGTGGTCGGGAAGGCGTCGGAGCACCACGTTCCACAGAACATCATCCAGGGCTGGAGTTGGTGACTGCTGGCTTGAGTCTTTTAGTTAGGTTTGACCTTCAGAGAACGCAGGGCCCCCACCCCCACACACGGGGTGCCAGGCCCAGATGTCACATGGAGAAGGCTGCTTGTGAGCAGCCTTGCACCAGGACTGGAGCTCTAGATCCTCGGAACAGTCAGGCCTGGGGTGGAGGGGGGGAGGTGCTGGGATGTGATGGGATCTTGCTTTAATTTAGTGGCTCATATGATGCCTGGATTGAAGGAAATATTGAACATGACAGGGGGAAATCTATTGAGGCTTATTTCATCTATTGATTCTTTGATCCACTCATCCAGCCATCCCTTCAGCCGTCCCTCCATCCTAACAATGGATCTTCCGTATTTCCTTCTTCCGATACATCTACCAATCTATTGGTCCTCTCACTTCCCACCACCTATCTGCCTATTTACCTACCAATTCATTCATATAACCACCCAGCTACCAATCCATCCCTTCACTAATCCACCCATTTTTGCATCTACTTAATCACTTATTTACTTTCCAACCCATCCCCTACCTACCCATCCAGCTAACCCAACTCACCCATTCATCCTCATATTCCCATCTACTTACCCACCTATCTGTTACTAATTCATTCTTCTCACCACCCATTCAACCATCCATCCACCCACCCATCCATCCATCCATCCACCCCACCTATCCATCCACCTATCCACTATCCATCCACCCATCCATCCACCCATCCACTATCCATCCACCCATCCATCCACCCATCCACTATCCATCCACCCATCCATCCACCCATCCTACTAATATAGGCTTTGGGATGGAATAATAGGGATTTAGAAATCTGACCTGATATTTAAAAAGCTCATGATTAAGTGAAGGAGACAAATACATACCTCTCAGGGTCACTGTGAAGCCCAAGTTACTAATTCACAAATGCTTAATACAGTTCCAATCACTCTAAAAATATATCATCTGTGTGGAATACGAGGCTGGTCTGAGCACAGGCTTGTTTCTAGTCAGCCCACTGCCTTCTGACTGTCCACAAGCAAGCGACTTCATCTCATCAACCTTCAGTTCTTCATCTATAAAATGGGGTAATAAGAATACTGATGCCTTCCTTGCAGGGACTTCAGGAGAATCTGATGAGATGATTTAGAGAAAGTGCTTAGCTCAGGGCTGATGCCATAGTCAGCACTTATAAACTTCTGGCTTCTTCTCCTCCCCTTCCTTCCCCTCCTCCCCCTCCCCCTCTTCCCCCTCCTCCCCCTCCTCCTCCCCCTTCTCCCTCTCCTTTCTTCTTCTTCCCCTTCTTCTTCTTCTTCCTCTTCCTATTTTTGATAGTTACTTTAATTCCAGGGGCAAAGGAGAAAAGGGTAATTATACCAAACTGTGAAGCTAAGAAGGGATGTAACAGAAGAAATGACTTCTGGGTGGGATTTGTAGGAAGAGAACACTTTCTCCTGGTGTCCAGGAGTCCAGCATGTCCAGCAGAGAGGGCACTTGCATAAGATCTGCCATCTTAAGGTGCAGCTGAGGCTTTGCAGAGAAGCTGAGTGAGGATGGCTGCAGTGTGGGACCCGAGAAGACAGCGGGCAGAGCAGGTGTGCAGAGATGGACCTCAGGACCTCCACATGAGGCTACGGAGTCTGCATTGTGGCTTGGGAACCACAGGAACCCATCAGGAGGGTTTAATCCAGGCCATCATCCCAGCTAAGTGAGACTTGGGAAGCTCTGCCACGCAGGGAGCAAACATGGAGGCAGGAGCCTGGGGCAGGGCTGGGGAAATAGCTCTCCTGAAAGGCAGGACCCAGGATGACCCTGCAGAGCTCACAAAAGGCTGATGGAAGAGATGGATTTTTAAGTAGAGTCAGCCAGGACTTGGGAACCTATTGGTAAGAAGGGGGAGGGGGCGACAAGGGGTTTGCCCGCACCTCAAGGAGCGCCCTATCAGAGGCCAAATCCCTAAGACTGAGATGAATTTTCCTCCTCACTTTGCTTATATCTGCCCATGCCATGCAGAGCTACTGTGAATAAATTTGCATGTATTTATGCCACAGGCAGCCAGCGCTAAAAGGAGCATCTCTCCGTTCTGAGTGTGAGCTCACATCCAGCTTGCTTCCTCTGCTGGGCAAAATCAGGAGCTCAGAACCTCCAGGGACTTCCTGGAGAACTTGGCCATGTCCTTTACTCTCCAGACATTGGAAAGAATAAATTTGGTCTCTAAAGTCTCTAACTGTAACCCAATGAGAAGAGAAGAAGCAGCTGACAGAGATCTAGTGCCCTGACTTATAACTGGAGCACCAATTAGGACAATTGGTGTTCCAAGGATCAGGAAACATGACTCACCTTGGCTTAAAATAAAGGGTATCATAAAAGCAAAGGTTTCACTGTCAGGTGAAGCTGGATCCAGCAGCTCCATGATGTCACTCATTGAGGGCATTTTCTGTCTTTGTTTCCTGGGTTTCAGTTTCTTAGTAAGCCTGATGTCTTTCATGGAAGCCTCCTACCCAATGCACAGCTTCTGACGACCACCTGCTTTTGTGCTCCCACTGAGCTGGGAGGGAAGGGAAGGTCTTCATCTGAGCAGTACTCAGAAAGCCTTGCGATCCACCCTGACTGGACAGCTCACTTCCAGTGTCCACTTCTGTCACTGTGGTCAGAAGGTGGGGATGTGCTCGGGGACTGCTTGTGGAATCCAGTGCCTCCCTCCATGAATCACGACCTTCTACTTTCTCTGTTTCCAAGGAGAGAACAGACAGTTTCAAAACCAGACATAGCCTCTGGGAAAACTGAACCTTCACATAAAGTGCATAGGGAAAGAAAGGGGATAATTAGTGCTCAACTCAGAACTTTAAGGATACAAGGGCCATGAGGAAGTCAGGATAAACAGCATCCTCCAAGGGGTCTCAGCCTGTGGGGTCCGCTGGATGACTCAACCCAGACTGCTTGAGACCCATTTGGCCAGAAGCATCAGCCGTCCTATTGCTGGAGATTTGGAGCAGCAGGCAGGGGCACGGTGGGGCTTGGAGGAGGTGGGTTGGACTCCAAATGGATTGCATTAATCAGGATTGGTCAGCTGACACTGTAGTGAAAACAACAGCAACAACCTTCCCGAATCTTAGTGACTTACTTTTTCTTTGCAGTTAACACTGAGTTTGAGAGACTCTCCAGAGTCTGCAAGTCAACCACCTAAGGGGTCTTACACATGCACTTCTACGGCAGGAGGAAGAGGAGATTGTCCCATGGCTGTTAAATTCTCCTGCCAGGAGGTGACACACACCATTCTGCTCAGCGTCAGCTAATCCTCTAGGAGTCCCTGCAGGAAAGGTGAGTTGGAAATGTCAGGGGGGAGGAAGGACACCTGCCTTGAGAGAGGGAAGCACGTGGACCCCGACTCAGGCCACTTGCTGTGAGTCTCACCTTCACCTCGAAGATGAAATTGTCTTGTCATCTGATTGCTACCTGGTGCTTGGGTTTAAGGGGTGAACTGCCTTCTAACAATACGGGGAAAAAGAGCCAAGGAAGGGATATTTTTAGAACCTGATTCTTGGGCTTCATGGGAGAATAAAAGGAGATGAAGCATTTGACCCCGTTGGCATATTGCCTAGCAAGAATAAGAGTTCTATAAATACAAGGTACCATCGCCATTTTACAGATTGCGCCACTGACACTTATGGTGGCCGAGTGACTCTGAAGGTCACCCAGCGATGGTGGCCCAGAGATCAGGTGGCCATGGGGTCCTCTGTCGGTGATAGTTCCCTTGACCTCACTGATGTTTTGCTATGTGAGGAGTCTCCTTCTCCTGTATCACTCCTTCCTAGTCTGTCCAGATCCCCTGGGGAGCTCCATGCTCTGTAAATAAACCCCACGGTAGTGACTCTGTGCTCCATCTCCCTGAATGAACACTGATACCCACTGACCTTCCTGGGCTCAGAAATGAAATGTCCTGCTATTCACTTGGCCCTTTATCTGGGTTTGGGTCCTCTAACACAGGAGACTGCAGTGAGTCCTGAACCCCTCCAGTGGATGCTCACAGTCTGAGGGTTATAGTGGTCATAGCAAACTGATTAGGGCCATATTGTCCCATTTCACAATAACAACTCTCTGGGCATTCAGTGGAACTAAGATATCAACATTCTAGAGCAACGTATCCACTATTTCTAAGATTCCACCATTGCTTGGCTCTATAATTGTTAACTCTAATTCCAAGACTCTAAATGGGTTCAGATGGGAATGTTCTGCACCAGTGGAAACACTTTCCACTGTTGTTTTCCATCATGATAGCATGGCACCCAGAAGCAGATGTGGCTATGGAGCTCTGAAATGTGACTAGTATAAAGGAGGAACTTGGTGCAATCAATTGAATCTAAGATCCTCTGGTCTAGAGTTAAGAGAACTCCGAACCCTCTTATCCCAATTTTCATGATAGTTTGGATCCTGCTTACCTCTAGAGATCATGACTGAAGAGTTTCACAATAGCATCATACCCCCAGTGTAAGTCCTTTGCTCTAGAATTCAGTTGAAGTAATATGAGTCTCCTATGTATCAGTCAGGACAGAAGAGATTACACTGTAGTAACAAGTAAGCCCTATGATTGGGGCTTGAGACAACAAATGTTGGCTTCTTGCTCATAGTGTATATTCATGACAGATTGCAAGAAATGCTGTTCATCACAGCTTCTTGGGTACCCAGAAGACAAGCTCTAGAAACACTGAGTCAGAATGCTGGGTTTAACCTTGTTGGTTATAGCACACTTACATCTGTGCATTTATGTTATACAGTTGGACTTTTATGCTCTTTATCCTTCTTTACCTGATTGAGAAAGGACCTCAGGTCTGTGGGTTAGTCTTGTAATTTGGGCTACTGTGGGTTAATCACATCCATTCATTCAATATTCCAGAGAATATTAATTGGTGGTGGGGGTGGGTAATAATGCCATCAAATTTAAAAAATATATTTTTCAGTCTTTCTAGCATGTGGGATGGCCGTGTGACAACTTCTGTCTAATAACTTATAAGTAGAAGTTATTAAGTACATCTACCTGAAAATCTCTTACAAAGGAGAGCTCTCTCTCTCTCTCTCTCTCTCTCTCTCTCTCTCACACACACACACACACACACACACACACACACACACACCCTCCTTTTCTCTACCAGGTAGATGCGATGGCTGGAGCACTGGCAGTTATTTTGATAACAGTGGGATGCTGGTAACACTTTGAGGATGATTACCCAATAGCTTCAAAGGACCTAGATCCCTAAGGGTATCAGAGAACTACCAACCTTCTGCCTTCTTTTAAACGAGGGAAAAGTGATTCCCTATATTGTTTAAATCATTTATTCTTGATTACACACAACCCATTCATGATTAACGTAACATTATAAAAAGTTGATTTTTTTTGTTCATGACCAAGAGAAGCGGCTCTCTTAAGGCGTGAAAGGGACCACACACATTGGGACTGTGTAGACTTGCGTTCTTATCCTGCTGTTGGCCAGCTGTGTGACCCATGGCAAGGACTTTGTGAACAGCAAGCTTCCCCTGTGGCGTCTGTATGGCTTGCAGGAGAGGACAGACGCAGAGTTCTCTGAGTTTGGCACACAGGTGCTCACTAAACAGCGGCACCCCTGGAGATGCACTTGTCCTGCACCATGCAGCGCTCCGGGGGCTTCCCATCGGCCAACTCGTTCCCAGGCACTGAGCCTGGGACGCTGGGTGCTGCTACCATTCTGAATTTCCAGGTGAGGGGAGGCAAACAATGAGCCGTGGTAGGAGGTGGTTTGAGTGCCATGTTGAATACATATACAGTGTGTGGTGGGTCCTGAACCTTGACCCTTCTGCACCCTGCCTCCCGGGCTTTGCCAAGCACCTCGCCACGGGCATTATTATTTTCTTAATGGCTTTGACTTCATTTTATATCGAATCACTTTTTAAAAATCGTATCTTCATTCTAAGCAATAAATTATGTATAGAAAACCACTGCATATTATATATGTGCTGCATACTACACAGATTCTCTACAGGAACACGTGGTGCAGCCTGTCAGAGCTACACTCACATTTATGCTCTTTGTCTATCTGCTTTAGGCTGCTGAGTCCAGCTCTTGACACGTCCAGTATTAAAATGTGCTAGAACCATCAGAAGACACAGAAGCAAGTTACAGAGCAGCTTTAACCCGGGACAACTCGAAGCCATCAATAGTGCAGGAGTAAGTGCCAGGTGCCATTTCACGCGTGGGCTCTGCAAACACTCCTGCCCACCCGTCTCTCTCTGTCTCTCTCTCTGTCTCTCTCTCTCTCTCTCTCTCTCTCTGTCTCTGTCTCTGTCTCTCCCTCTCTCTGGGCCCCTAATCCTGCAGCTCCATCAAGCCCTTGCTTTGGTCCCATGCTGAGCACTAAGCAGACTTTGGTACTTGGAGGGGAATTCTCTCCTTCCCTGAGCCCAGTGGCCAGAGGGACAGGGTCCCCGTGAGTGCCTGCAGCCTTAGGGAGTCTCTGGGTCAGCAGATGGGGGTGAGGTCTGTGTTGCACCCCTCCCTCACTGGGAGCCTTCGCTTCCTTCAAAGCCTCTATTTGCCCATTTCTGAAAAGGGAATAAAAGCACTCACTCAGTAGGGCTCATGAGGACAGGGGTCTCAGGTTTTAAAGACATGGTGAATCTTAACTCCCTGTACAATTGCTCAGATTACTAGAATGAACAAAGAGAAGCCTAAAGAAAACGCATGAATGACTATCTACCAGGACACTGAATTGTTCTTATTGGCCAATTATCGGTAGAAAAATCAACCAAAAGAACATTTAGGGGCAGAATCCAAGATCAATAATGAAGATGGCTTTTAGAGTTTAGATCTTGTGTCCCTCGAGGGCTCCTGTGAGGACGGTGTGGTCCCCAGCTTGGCTCTGTTGGGGGGTGGGAGTTGGTGGGATGTCTCCGGCCCCTGAGGTGTCCTTGAAGGGGATGTGGGGCCCTGTGTCTTCCTCCTTTCTCTTTGCTTCATGCTGGCCACGAGAGGAGCAGTTTTGCTCCACCCCATGCTCCCACCATGAGAGTCCCAGTTGGGAAAGGGCCCTAGCTGATGTGGGGCCAGAACCCTCAAACCTGTGAGCCCAGAGAAATCGTTCCTCCTCAGATGTTGATTCCCTGGGTATCTGTCAGAGTAAAGGGAAGTTAACTGAGTAATGAAATACACATGCAGGATGTGGGAGAGTCAGGAGGAGTTCTCTCTCTTTTCAAAATTTCTGTTCACAGCTGTACCCTCAGGATACATTTGTACTTAGTAGGTACGCAACAAATGTATGTAGCATAAATATTAGATAGTATTATTACCTTGCATCTTACTAGGACTGATTAGATACCAGTTACCTCTTCCTACAGGGTTCATCTGACCTTCACAATGGCCACATGCAGAGCTGCACTTATTACCCCCATTTCACAGATGAGGAAATCAAGGGTCAGGGAAGTAAAGTGCCCTCCCACACTCACCCAGGCAGAAAGGGGCAGAGCCAGGATTGAAAACTGGAAAATTCTGACTTTGGGGTTAACCTCTGTGCTTGATGCTCCCGTGACTTCCCTCTCCACAAAGGGACACAGGGATCAGGAAGGGACTGTGGAATGGCATTGCTCCAGAGGGTGTCACCCTGAGGTGAGAAGGGACCACACTCACACTGAGCCAAGGCACCTGCACTTCCCCATTCTCACTGCCAACAGCCCAACTCCAGACTGAACAAATTTGCCACAAACTTGACAGCTTAAAGCAAGACATTTATTCTCCCATGGTTCCAGAGGCAAGAAATTAGAAATGAAGACCACTAGGCCCAAATCCAGGTGGAGGCCAGGCTGCGTTGCTGCCCCAGGCTCTAAAGAGCAACCTTCCTCCCTCTGCGGAGGGCTTGGGGCTGCCTGCCCACAGTCTCTGCCTCAGGCCGCCCAGCTTCTCCTCTGTGCCTGTGACATCTCCTGCTGCGACGGCATCAGGCCCGTCTAGATAACCCAGAACAAGATCACCATCAAGATCCCTAATCACACTCATGCAACCGTTTTTCTCCCCAGCAACACAGGCAGATTCCAGAGAGGAGGACCTGATAGCTCAGGGGACGTAGCTCAGCCTGTGCACTGCGCAAGGTTTTTACCTGAAACTGTCAGCATAGACAGCTCCTTCTCCTGCTGCCACGATCCCAGGCCTCCCTGAAAAAGATCCTTCCCCTGTGTCACCTGGTTCCTACTTCTTACCTTACCAGCAGCTCGTTGGTGGGAGCCAGCAGCAAAATCAGAGAGGAGACTGACCAGGTAGAGCTCCCCGACTTGGGTCCCCTCCATAACCTACCCTGCACACAGCCGGGCCACCTCTAAGTCCAGTTTTGAGTGGAGGGCCCAGAGAGGGCAGATTTGACCAGAGACACACAGAACGTCCTGTCTTTGCTCAGTGAAACTTCAGCAGATTTCATCTGTGCCAACCTCTGTTCTGGTTGCTAGAGACAGAGAGACAACCAAGTTTCTTAGTAACTCCTCTGAATCTGCCATTGAGAGAGGGAGAGAGACAGACAGACAGAGAGAGACAGAGAGAGATAAAGGGGAAAAGGGAGGGTGAGAGAAAGAGAGAGAAAGGCAAAGTAAATTAGTGTCTCTGAACACACTCAACTAATGTGAAAATATGGGGAAGAGAAAGCCAATGAACAGCCGGGAGGGGAAAGGGCTAGTCTCAGAGATCTCAAAGCGAAGGCAGCGTCTGGCCTGGGTGGTTCACTGCAGGAGCAGGGACATCTAGGGCAGAGGATGGAGTCTGAAGCTAAAAGCTGGAGTGTCCAACTCAGAGAGATTGGTAGATGTCACACGGATGGCACTGAGCTCTCTATCTGGTGAGATACATCTCAGTGGGTCCTACAGATGGTCCATGAAGTGCCCATTTCCCAGATAGAAATATTGAGGCTCCTGCTATAGAGGAACTTGCTTGAAGTCAGACAACTACCAGACTCCCAGTTGGACATATTCTCTCCTCCTTCTATCCAGAACTCAAGTTCTACAGTCTCACTCCATGCATTCTGGTACTCCATGTTTTCCTCTGAGGAGTCCACTGCTTCCCTAGTTCCAGAGGTAGGAGAGTTCTCACTGCTTCTGTTCCAAGGATGATTCTGATCACATACTTGTGGGAGCCAGCTGGGTGGCTGCAGTGAAGTTGAATGCTCTGGCATTGATTAGTGATGTCTGCCTCAGGAACTGGGTAGAGTAGTTTGGGATGGCTTGCTATGGACTTTAAAGTTAGGCTTTGTGGCTTCAAGAAAGAACCCCATTTATCTCTGGGGTTTTGAACAAAATCTGCCATCCCTGACTGACCTTCATTATGCAGTAAGGAAGCAAAGGTACTTTTAAGAAGAAAAGGTAACTTGGTAAACATAGAAGGACAGGTCTGCAATCCACCTGGTACCTGAGTTTGGAAGATGCCTCGAGTCATCCAGCTGTGTTCTCTTCTCCAGGCCTGGGACTGCTTTCTGACCCTACTTATGCAGAATATCTCTCCCGTCCCAGCACACAAGGTCCCAGCACAGAAAGCTACTGGCCTGCGTCCTCTTCTAATAAGCAGTGGACGTGAAGGAAACAGGACAAGACTCCAGCCCACTTCCTGCTCACGCCCCTCCCCGTGTCATCTGGGCAGTTTCTCCAGAGAAAGGAGAGCCTGAGAAGGCTGGCCCTGCTCCCCACATGTCCCCAGTCTGCCCACATCTGGCTCCATACCCAGAGTGGCAAACCAGCACACATCATAAAAAAAAAAATTCTAACAAGACATTAATAGATAAATAAAAATAGCTTCCACAAGAGACGATGGAGGAGTCACGCAACAAAATGATTTCTTTCTGTGCGCGTAAACTCATGAATAATCAAATACACAGTTCCCAAATGAGCTGAGTGCGGTGCTTGTCAGCCTCCCCCCAGTTTCCTCCTGGAAGGTCACCTCAAACCTTTGCAGCCTGGTCGCTCTGCCCCCTCAGACTGGCACCACCACGGCCCCTCCCAAGACCCCCGCCACCCCTTAGAGGGGAGAAATTAATCCCCCAGCAGGATGGAGACAGATGTGCAGAGTATCTGAATGGGAGGCGGCCGGGGCAGTGCTCCGGAATCGCCAGGCGGGAAGGGGAGCTTGATAAATATCGGGGAGGGGGTCCCCAGGCCGCGGCTTTGTGAGCTGAACCAGAGCCCTGGCTTCAAGTTTTTTTTTTCTCTTTTGCTGTCACATTTTAACCTAGCATCTGCCTTGAGAGGCAAGAGGATCGTCCCTGCCTTTCTTCTTCCTCCTTTAAAAAATTATTTTTTTATTTTCCCTCATGTGTTAAGGGAGGAAACAGTGACAGGGACAAGTGACAGCTCGCTAATTATTCCCTTACTGCCACTGCTGTTCTGGCTTTGGACGCATTGCTCATTTCTCCCGTCTTCGCACTGAATAATGCATGGGTCCCTATCTGTATTCAAGCGGCACCTCGGGGACTGCAGCCTAACTAGCTGATAACTGATTCAGTTTGTAAGCAGGGCCGCTGGGAGTTGCAAGGAAAAGTAGCCAAGAACAAATTTAACACTTCTTTCTCATTTCTAGGGAACATCAAGGCGAGGCCGGTGGGGAGGGGTGGCGGTGCACACCTGGCTCTGGTAGGGCACTTGACCCCCCAGTAAGAAGGAGGGAATTTTGGCTGTGACTGTCGGGGTGGCTATAATGATGATGATGATCATGACAAATACAATAATAAAAAGCAGGGTAAAGTGAGTGGGAAGCTTACAACAATAGCAGGTCTCTTAACAACAAGGTTACAGTCTGAGAAATGCATACTTGTTTAAGTTTGTTGCTGTGGGAATATGAGAGATTATAGAATTATACAAATGAAGATGGTTACAATGCGGCTAAGTGATACAATCTCATGGGGCCACCCTCCCATGTTCCCCCTGTCTTTGACTGAAACAATGTTACCTGTGCATGCCTAACATTGTACTAGATAGGTGGCATGCGTAATCACTTTTAGCCATCTCAAAAAGCCTTGAGTGACAGGGCACTGGGAGATGTATCAGTTAGCTATGGCTATGCTACAGCTGTGTAACAAATGTGCTGTATGTTGAATGTAACAGCTATTTATAGCTTTTTGCCCAGGTAAAATCAGTCTTGGGCCAGTCTCAGCAGTGTGTAGCTGGACTCAGTCTGGTCTGGGCCAAACCTTCCCCATGGGTCTCACTAGAGTGAAGTTACAGGGGAGGGATATCTGGGACAGGAAGAGCCTACACTATGTCTGGAATCAGTCAAGTCGTGTATCGAGAGCACTATTCACTGTGCGTCCAGGGCAGGCCGAAGGCTTCTCAAACTGTTACAGCGTGAAGAGGTGAAACTAGGAAGGAGCCTGCAGAACGATCCCTTTTGAGAATCAGTACCACTCACCCTACTGCTGAAAGGAAATGCACCCCTTGCCCAAAGGCTTGTACCTGTGATATAAAGATCGTGCTGTTAATTAAACGATGCCAGCTACAAACAATGCTCCTGATGTTCACAGTGGCGCACGCTTTCCCCGTGTCTACAGTACCAAATACTATTCTAAGAGCTTTGCAGGCATGGGCTCCTTATCCTCTCCTAATACCCACAGGTAGACACTATTATTATGCCTGATTCACAGAAGACAAAACAAGCTCGGAGAGGGGAGGACTGTGTGTGTCTGGCGCACATTAGGTGCTCAGTGACTCGTGAACGAGTAAATGAATCCAGCTGAGTCACGCTGCGGACTTGAGAAGCTGATGCCGGGAGCACTGAAGCAATACAGTGAGGACCGTGCCTGGTTTGCCTACTTGCTGAGCACCTACTGTGTGCTCTGCACTGCGTTAAGGCCTCTGCTTTGTGTCTGTGACAGCTGATCTTGATGATCAATTTGCTTGGTTTGAGAGGCCCTCCCGCCAGGGGCCTAGGAAAGCACACTTCCGTGTGTGTCTAGGTGGCAGACAAGTTGTCCCTCACCTCTTCCCCGGCCTTTTCCCTGCTCTCTGCTTCCTGGCTCCATGACGTGAGCAGCTCTCCTCCGCCAGGCCCTTCCATCAGGATGCTCCTGCCCTGCAGCCAGCTCACCTTGGGCTGAATCTCCTGAACCATGAACCACAATGACCCACTGCTCTCTCTTAAATCCTGGGGTCAGATACTGTGTGCCAGTGATGGAAAGGCAACTAATAGTATTTCAACAAATACTTGCTGTGATGTCAGGCTGTGCAGCATAAAGTAGGGTAAGGTGAGGGGTGTGGTGCTGGGCAGTGGTCAGCAGATGGCTTCACCTTCCTTCGGTGCCTGCACTGTGCTGATGCCTCTCACAAAGGGCTGATCTCACAAAGAATCCCCCAGGCTCAGTGTGTGACCGACCCCGAGTTCCACCATTGTGTCCATTGCTCAGGTGAGAACTGAGGCTCTCACTGTCACACTGAGTGGCAGCGGGTCAGGGACCAGCATCCATGACACAGGAGGGTGGGGTCCCTTGAGACCCCAGAGGGATGCTGGCAATGGGCCAGGTGCCAGGGAGGGAGGGGAGCCCGGGGACCCCACAGCTGTCACCTGCCTGGGTGTGCACCTGTATCCAGCTGCCCAGCACTGTCTGCCGGGGACGCCAGACTCCCTGTCAGAGACACACGTCACGGCAGTCGGGGGGTGCAGGCAGGCTGGCGGCAGGAGGTTTAAAATAGCAGCGTGGCATCCTCAAGGCAGCAGAAGCTGGTGCTTAAGGCTGCGCAACACGGAGAATCAGGGAGAGGCTGCCCCGGCCCTGCAGCTGCCCCCTGAGCTACTCTTTTTTTCAGGTGAGGAGAGGAGAGAAGGGGGAGGGGAGATGGATGAAAGGGTGGACAGCCACGCTCCCGGGCCCAGAGTGTCCCGGGCCCCTATTCCCTTCCTCTGCTCACTGTTTCTGCACTCAAACCTGCCTGACTGAGCTAGGCGTGGTGGAACACATCTGTAAGCCCAGCACTCGGGAGGCTGAGGCAGAAGGATCATTAAAAGGTTGAGACCAACTTGGGCTACAGAGTGAGCTCAGGGCCAACCTGAACTGCATAGTGAGACCCTGTCTCAAAAAGACAAAACAAACAAACAAACAAAACTGGATTGACTGATGTCCCTTGTACTTCGGCCTTGGCCCTCCCAGACATGTTTTCCATCTGGGATGTACAAGGCAGGTGCTCATTATGTGTCCACTGGATCCACGTGCCCCCTTCTCAGCATCCTGAGGAGTCTTCTAGGTGCCCAAGGGAGGGCCCCCTCTTCCAAGCCATGTGTGACTCTGTCCCCTCACAGGCCCGGCTGCACCCCACTCTAACAGCGCTTCCAGATAAGCAGCAGACATTGCTAATCAATCACAGCACCATTTTCCTCTGAGTTCTGGAGCCGGCAGCCACGAGCCATTGGCTGGAGGTGGCACCAAGATGGTGCCCTCGTGGCTGCTCTCTCCTGAGTGTCACCAAGGGAGGCGTAGGTGAATGAATGATCTCTGGAAACCCAGTTTTGTCTCTGCTGTGGCCTTCAGTTTGGGGAGCTCTTCAGGGTGCAGCAATGCATTTATTTAAGCACCCTGCCTCTGGGCGCAGGGCCTGGCCCATACTAGTGCTGGAAATCGTGAGGGGTACAGGGATTGGGAAGCAGGGAGAACGTCAGACTGTGTGGACGTAGGAGGTCAGCACACCAAGGCCAGCTTGGACCCTAAGACTCCTCTAGGAGTCCCAGCCCCAGTCTCCAGAGAGGACAGCCAAGGCCCGGGCAGCCATTCCATGGTCTTACAGAGACGGTTTCAATAAGAGCATGGCAACCTGATGGCCAATGGCACAGACACAAAGGGCGAAAGGATGACAAACCCACAGACCACCCAAGAGCAGTGAGAGGGCCACGGGGCCCGGGGCCTGCCCTCCCTGAGGCTCAGCACCGTCACCTTTAAAAGGGTACATTAAGGACTCCTATCCCGCAGAACCAGAGTGAGATAAGGAAAGGAAGGTGCCATGGTGTTGGAGAATTGGGACAGTCACTAATATCTTGTTGGCAACATGCCACTCACAGGGACTCCTTGGGGAGGCATAAAGCCCAGATCCCCAACCTCTGGGACCCCCACCCTTAGGTGAGATGCCAGGAAGGAGGCAGGGTTTCCAGAAGAGCAGGGAGCCCTACTCCTGGGGATGGCATCACTACGTTATCACTCATTGACCCATTTCACAGATGGGAAAGCCAAGACCAGAGGACCAGCGCTGGACCAGCGAGACTAGCCAGGCCTCACGGATGAGTGGATTTAACCTGGAATGTGCTGGTTTTTGCACAGAGCCACCATATCTTGATGGTGTCATTTTCTCCACACTGATCACTCTCTCGCTGGTTCGCCCTCTCTTGCCGGGTTGAGCGAGCTCCAGCACAGTCTGCAGTGCAGTTATGACAGCAGGGAATGGGTTGATGGACTGGGAGAATATTTCAGCATCATAAGAATTGTGTTTGAGCTGAGTTTGAGGCAGATGTCACAGAAGGCCTATGCCGTCTAGGTTTTGCAGTGTGAACGGCATTTTACAGGAAGAACATAACAGACAGGCGACAAAAAATAAAAGTTTGAAAACTAAGTAAGATCACAACACCAGCATGTGGTTGTGACTCCCACACAATGCGCACCTACTGTGCTCCACGGGCCGCCCAGGGGAGAAAAGTGCGAGGTCCTGGCAGCAGATCAGCTACCACAACGTGAAAGGCAGAAGGGAGCGCCAGGCCTGAAGATCTGCCCTTGGCGTCCCGGC